TCTCTCTCTCTCTCTCTCTCTCTCTCTCTCTCTCTCTCTCTCTCTCTTTTTCAATGCAATAAAAACCATTTTCGATTCGGGTTTATTTCCCTGAACCGGCCGCTGTTGTTGTATTTTTATTTTCTCGAGCGTAGCCGAAATATGAATGTGTGCAATAAAAAAAACCTGGAAGGATGCTTAACAACATCAACAACAACAACAACTAACCGAAAACGAACTGCGTCTAAACACATACACACATTTTAGTGGATAAAGAAGAAAATGCGATAAAAAATACTGATCAAAATAAAGAACAACAAAAACTGACACAAAGACACGAATGAAGAAAAAGAAGCGGAGAACAAAAAAAACGAATTGGAATGAAACCCCAGAGAATTGATAGATGCCGTAGATTAACCTGCGCACGAATACACACATCGTCCAATCGAATTGAAAGGGAATTAAAGTGAGAGATGAGAAAACGTGAACGAACGAAAGAACGAAAAAATTGCTATATATCGATGAAGATGAAGATGAAGTCGGCACATCACATCACATCCAAGAACACATATCATTTTTATTTTGACATTCACATCATTTTATTTCATATCATCTTTCGTAGCGACCGAAAAAGTCCCAGACCTGTGTATATCCATCCATCGCACATTTTCATGGCAATTGATATTTTGTTATGTTTAGATTAAATGTTATTAATGTTTTCTCGAGCGGTAAAATTCTAGCACCTCATCATGCGATATGCCAAAGATATCGAGTAAATATTTGATGGCCGATGAAATCAGTTGTTTACATGAGCCGTAGAGGCGAGAAGCAGAAGAGACAGAGAATTGGAAACTGTACATTGACATAAAGAACAAAGAAGAAAAAAAACGGACGAAAACTGGCAGAAAATGCAGAAATGAATGGAAAAGAGAGATAGAGAAAGAAGAAAAACACGAGATATGGGAGAAATGACACATAAAACAACATAAAGCGCAAAGTTTAAGTGGTCGAATAGTGTGAAATGACAATTAGTACGGTTGAACCTCTCTACGGTGGAACTAAAAAGGAAAACCAAACACAAAGAAAGAAGAAAAAAAAACTGCACACTGTGAGGCACAAATGAATTATGATGAAATATCGAGGCGTACAAGCGGAGAAAATAAACACAAAAGTTAATATGCATCTGAAATTGGTGTATATTTAGCATGAGATCGTCATTGGCGGTCGCGTTGATTCATTCTTTTCTGCGGTGCACGGTGCCCAAACAAAAGCCAGAAGAATTTGTATGTTGTGCACATTGATTTGATCGAAATCAAAAAATCACTTAAATGAATTCGATATGCATGTTGTGCGCGCGTACATGCATCGACACGACACCGAGCCGAAACCGTTTTCCTAAGGGCTCGATGACAAATAACACGCGTATCGACAGTGTATATTCAGTGGGCAAATGTGTGCACTGTGATTCGTATGACGAAGGTGCATGTGTAGAGCCTGCGAAACTCGACAAAATGAATTTAATAAACATGTACTATGTTTTGATACGCGACTAACTCACACAGATGTCCATCGATAAATGTGTCGCGTATTGTGCTAAATGCACAAACCATATGCAGGCTCAATAGAACTGTGTGTGCTGCAACACAAATAGACGGGGAAAGAGAGCGAATGCAAGCAAGCGGGAAAGAGAGAGAGAGAGAGAGAGAGAGAGAGAGAAATAACAGAGGAAAGCAGTACACAGAACTAAAACCGAGGAAGGAAAAACGCGAATGTACATCGTGTTAAATGAGTGAGTGAGACAGAATGCGCGAATGGCAATCATAATGTGCGGTGAATTGGATACTTCAGTTCAGACAGATATCAGTGTATAATGTGCGGTAGATTCCTACCTATTTATATGTGATACGGTTTTGGTACACACTGTGCGGATAGGCTGAGGATGGTGTGTGCTGTTTTGTGCAAAAACTGATGAGTAGTATTTCTCTCTTTCGGATGCGCTCTCTTTGGTCACAGTCACAACAACAGCAACGACAGCGGCAGCGACAGCAGCAGCAGCAGTATTTTTGGTATGCGTTCATTAACGATACGAAACGCAGTTTCAATCTCATACAATCCAATACATGCAGCGCGCTGCAAGAGAGCCGAGAGCAGCAGCAGCAACAGCAACAGCAGTAGCGGCAGCAGCTATTTTCAATGGCCAATCTAAACGATACGTAAACACATATGCACGTAGACAAAATGGTTTGTTTAGCAATCTAGGATGTTGTACATTTTCGCTCACTCAGACTCTCTCTCATCATCGGTATGTTGACGAGAATTGAAATAAAAAGCAAATTACATTGCATACACTTCAAGCAATTTAAGTTAACAAGAAACGAACTCCGACTTTTGAATTGCAACAAACGGCAGCAACTAACATCCATTGTTGGAATTCCTTGTTGTTTTTTTTGTGTGTGTCGAGCGTCCCATTCAAGAACGATTCTTTTTGTACGAAAAAAAAGCATTCGAGTCGTACAATGCATTAGCACTGGTTTCGATTTGATTAGGGTTTCAATGAATTCTCTCTTCTCTTTGCTTCGGTTTTTTTTTCTCTCTGTGGTAAAGAATGTGTCGCTGTACTCTGGCTCACCTTTCGCCAAATATGCTCGGATTCGTTTTACCAGCCAAAATTCACATGAATTTGTGTGGAAAAAGAATTTAAGAAGAAATTTGTGGAACAACAGTAGCCGTATCCCTTAGTTGGACGATGTCGTCGTCGAGAGGAAAACAAAAAAAACGGCACTAGATTTACATGTGTATGCACGCACTTCAGCCAACGAAGAGCATCCATGCATTAATCAACGAACAACAACCAACACACGAGAGAACCTCATGCATCTTTTGTGCGCTCTGTGTTTATGCTCTCTCTTCGTATGTCTCTCGTTCGCTCCCGCTTTCGGCACACACTCTCTCCTCAATTTGCACGGCAACCAACACAGGCGCGCACACATACAAGCCGCTTCACTACATACACGCCGAAGATCTCTCCGCTTTGTGTATATTCTCTCTCTTGTTGCTCGTTCGTTCTCTCCGAACGAGAAACGGATAAACCAGCATCGAAGTCCAACAGTAGACACTACAGATAGAACGAATTCACAGTCGGAACTCGACAGTTGTGTATGCTGGTTTACTCTGAAAGCGATTTGTTTTTTCATCAAACAATTTACGAATCCGTTCGACCGAACATCAGAGTCGTTCGTATAGCGATCGGAAAGAAAAAAACTAAGTTCTGTTATCAAATGCGAATTTAATGACAAGCTTAACCATTTCAAAGCTAAAATCCATAAGATAAATTCGGTGTGTGAAACTTGAAAAAAAAATTAAAGTTCAGTTGAATACCATCACGTGAAAAAAAATACACACAACAACTGAGTGTTAGATCAGTTGGTATTTTTGATTATCGTATCGATGTAAATTGATACTTAAAATCACCACCATTTATTGGCGAAACGTTCAAGCCAAAATTTGAATACGGAATTTCAGTAGTGACAAATACATAAAAAAACATAATATTTGATAACACGAAATAGAAAAAACCAATAGAAAAAAAAACATATCTAAGGAGAGTCAGTTTCAAGGTGCGAGCTTAAGTGATACCGCGAACAGTGAAGCGCAAACACACACCGTGTGTTTGTGAATTTGAAATTTAATCGGCGCAAAATTTATTGGCCTGAGCCTCCGCAATTGGCTATCACACACAATCCTACTTGGTGATAATAGAAGTCATTGTAATATAACCATCGTTACCGTCGTCGGCGCGTGAATTAGCCAAAACGACAAAACGGCAATAATTTTTAGTTGTTGAACACAAAGCCGCTAACACAACACTATCGATAGAATATTATGCGTGTGCACACACCAAGTCAGGCAAAAAAGTCACCGTAAGAGACAATAAACAACGCGACAGGCGAAACGAAACGAATAAATTGTATTCGGTCCACCTTAAACAGCCCAACCAGCCACCATCTCTTCGATATCAACGATTGGCAAAATCGTTGCACAGCGAATGAAATCGAAGCACACACATAAGAAGACATCGTATGAATCAAGAGGCGAACAATAATAATAAAAAAAAACGTATGTGCTGTACATAATAATAAAATCGACGACTACGACGACGACGACAACAGCCAAGACCAAGAGTTTCGAATCTACCTTTGAGCGCAAACGTCCACACGATGACGACGACGGCACCGATTAAATCGAACATCGAACATAAAATATATTTATAAATGTAATTCTTGCGTTCAACGGTGCGGTTTTTATTTTGCATTCCCGTTTTTTCGTGGCAGTGTCTCGTGTAAAAATCAGTGTTTTTGCACGCACTTTTCGTACGTAGTCTTTCCACGCGGCGCGAAGTTTAGTGAATATCATTCTTTTTTTCGTTGCTGTGTGTATTTTTTTTTTGGTTTCTGGTGTATGTTTTGACCGAGTGTGTTTGTGAATCAACACACAACATTTCATTCCGAAAGAGTGAAATAGAGTGTGTTTGTGTGTGATCGAAACGACGAATATAATCGAATACGTATGCATAATATGCAAATGAAAGAAAAAGAAGTGCATCAAAAACAGCAAAACAGTGATCCGGTGAGAAAAAGTGTGGCAACGAAAGAAAAAGACACATTGCGATTTGAGAGAGATTGAACAAACAATGGGAAACAATTGAGACATAAACAAAAAATACGAACGCAAGTGGAACAAGTTCGAATGTGTGTTGAAAAAGGATGCATGATTAAGAAAGAGACATGATGTCACCACATTTCACGAAGGAAATGTGAAGAGAAAATTATCCAAAACGATTTTCGAAGGTAGACTGCGAAACGAGCGAATAAAATTTTTTTTTTCTTCTTTCGATTGGATTTCAAGTTATTTTCTTGTGGTGTCGCATTTTTTGCCATTCACCGGCCAACAATTGCAATCGCATTATCATAAAATCCAGTGAATCGCGAATATTGAATGCATACTACGTTCGCGGTACAGTGCATCTCTCTCATGATTTAACGACACACTGAAAATGACAAAATTACGGTGATTACCATAAAAAAATTTTTTATTCGACAATTCAAATTGCAATGCGAATCGTTAGTGAAACTAAAAGCGATCGATAAAAACATATTCTATACGAAAAGCGAACGAAATAACAGCGCCAACAACAAAAAAAGTTATAGTGACAAAAGTCTACCTCACCTCAAAAGACGTATAATCAAATAATTTACGCGAAACTATTCGAATATTAAAAAAAGAAACTAAGAATTCCTTCTAAAAACCCAGTTGAATTCCGTCGTGTACAAAAATTATATGTAATTTGAATTGGTGAATGAGAAAGAACACGATCGCGTCTCGACTTAACTGATTTTCCAAGAGAGAATTGAGTGAATTCCAACAAATTTGTCGAATCGACAATATTTTCAACGTGTATATGCTCTCTCGTTCTGAACTAGTTTTAATCGGCCCATTTGTTCGCGTTGTGAATACGAACAGGAAAAATAAACACTTGCGCTTTTTAACATTATCATTTTGTGTCTGGCCAAGAAAAGCAACAACAGCCAGCGTTATAAAAATCAAATTGCCATAAATTCGGCAACAACAAAAACATTGGCAATCCCATAAGTAATCGAAAACAGTCGTTGGATTCTCCGGGGACTTGTAGCTGAAGCAGCAGTTGATGAAAGGACAAAATAATACCCGAAACGACATCTCAACACAGCAACGATAGCGAAATAAAACTGAGCTGAATAAAAAAGCAGCATCACAACGGCAGCGAGCGAGGAACGTTGACGAATCGAGAAATTGTGTAATGTTTGCTTAAAAACACGAGAGAGTTGGAGTGGATTCTATCGGCTAAGCTCAATATATATATCATATGCATGAGCCAGCCTGTTGCAAGAGACAACACATACAGCACTCAGATATATCCCAAAATCTCATCGGTTTTTATCATACAAAAATCTTCGACCGCGATCACACACATACCGATTAGAGCGCTAGATATTCAGCTGCGATAAAGTAGCGCAAAAGAAAATGTGTAATTTAGATAACTAATAATATTTTTGAAGGCACATACACACACACTGAAATAACACAGAACATATCGCTAGTGATATTCAAAGTCGTTAGAGTGAAACAAAAACAACAGCACAGCCTGTGCATACCAAACCGATCGAGCTATTTCCACTGGTTTTGGTATTTAATTTCCATCTCGAAAACATTAAATACACATATCGAATACATTTTGGCCTTTTCTTCGTCCGCGCGCGCGCCACAGACTGAGAGGAGCTCAAGAAAAACAACACAGAAAACGAAGAAGTAGAAGAAAAAACGACTACTAACAACAACAGAATAGAAATAATAAATCGTGTGTGTTTCATCTTCAGTTTTCATTGAATTGCGGTGAGCGCATCGCTGTATTATATTTTTTCCATCTCTTAACTCGTTGGTAAAACGATTAATGGTGTATTTCATGTGGCTCATATCGTTTAACATAGATTGTGTTTCAAACGGACTGTTTTGAGTGAATTAACTAACGAATAAACGATAGATAGAGAGATACAAAAGGAAATTGTGTGTATGCGAGTGTATAAAAGTGATTTGAACAAACAAACGCAGGAGAAAGAGAGAGAAAGAGCTACATATCGTTTTCCAATCGATCCGTTAGACTCATTTGAGGTTTGCTCCTTTCTTTTGTGTGTAATTTCTATGCATTCAAAGGGAGAAAACCATCAAAACGAAACGATTGTATAATTGATTTAACGAAACGAGTACATAAATTACCGAAATCAGAAGAAAAAAAAAACGCACGAGAACATTTTAAACGCAAGACCATCATCATCATTTCTCAAAAGAGAAAAAGAACCATTTAGATTGAGCCGAGAACCGGGAAAAAATAACCAAGAGCAAGCAACAACAAGAATCGAAAATGATGATACATTGGTGCAATCGATACTTGATTGTTCTCTATTGTGTGCTGCATCATTGTTATGCGGGCTACACCTTTGGTGGTGATGACTATCCAAAGAAGAGCAACTACGTACAGTCATTACAAACTGATCCATGCTATGCCGATGAACGGGCAAGAAGGTGCATACCAGATTTCGTGAATGCCGCCTACGGAGCGAAGGTTGTGGCGTCAAGTGTTTGTGGTCAGAATGGACCATCGCGCTACTGTGAACCAACCGATGTGATGAAACCCTACGAAACCACGTGTCACGTATGCGATCGTAGTGATCCACAGAAAACCTTTTCGCCCGCTGCGCTTACCGATCTAAACAATCCAAACAATGTAACTTGCTGGCGATCGGATCCGATTCAACAGCCAATCGGTCCAAATTCGCCACCGGATAATGTGACACTCACATTGAATCTGGGCAAAAAGTTTGAACTGACATATGTCAGCTTACAATTTTGTCCCAAATCAATTAAACCCGATTCGATTGCAATTTACAAGAGCGCTGACTATGGAGCCACTTGGCAACCGTTCCAATTTTACAGCTCACAATGTCGACGTGTTTACGGTCGACCAAATCGTGCTCCAATCACCAAAGCAAACGAACAGGAAGCACGTTGTTCGGATACACATCGTCATAATGGTGATTTGACCAGTGGCATGTATGGCGGTCGCATCGCATTCAGCACACTCGAGGGTCGACCCAGCGCATCCAATTTTGATCAATCCGCCGTTTTACAGGTACGTTCATTTTAATTTGTTATTCCATCGAATTTGTTATTGCATTAAAACCAACTTTATTAAAACACATTCGCAAACTCTTAACTCGGTTTGATAATTAAAAAATCATGTCGATTATTTCAACACAATTTAACTTTATGATGTTTTAAATTAAAATAATACAATTTTTATTATTATTATTCATTTTCATAAAACTTTAAAAACACATTGAATTTTCATGAGCATTCTACCATTTTCGACGCATTTTCCCAATTTTGTCCACTAATTTTTCAATCCTTCTTCCCAAAAACCAAAAAACACACACACACACACACACACAAAAGGACTGGGTGACAGTCACTGATGTGAAGGTAATCTTTCATCGATTGCAAATGCCAACGGATGTGCTTGATGAAGAATTGATGGTGGAACAAACGAAATTGTATGCGAATAAATTGCACACGGCCGATGCATTGGCCATATCGAAGGAGAAAAAGTTACTAACACCGCTCGATAATCTCGTATCGTCCACGATGAGCACAATGTCAACACAGAACTATGCGGTGTCTGATTTTGCTGTTGGCGGCCGATGTAAATGCAATGGTCATGCATCACGATGCCTCACCGACGATAAGGGCCAATTGTATTGTGACTGGTAAGTACGGCATATATTCCGATCGGAAATTTATAAACACAAACATACATTGACAATAATAGTGCATCCAACATAGTAGTACATCACACGCGTTTACGTTTCTCTTACAGCAAACACAATACGGCCGGACGTGATTGTGAAAAGTGTAAACCATATTTCTTCGATCGTCCTTGGGGCCGCGCCACATATCGTGAATCTGCCGAATGCAAAGGTAAGTCATGCCATGCCGTTCGTATTTATTCAATCTTTTTTACACCTCATACTTAACTCTCTCTTGCATACGAGCGAAATTGCGCTCATGAAAAATTCATTTTAATATTATTTTATCGTGTCGATGTGGCATAGAGAATATGTGTTCTCTTTGTTTTTCTATTTAGTTTGTAAAGTTGTAATCGTTTGTGGTCGATGTTGTGTTTCCCTTAAATCTCTTGCACTTCACGAACATGAACGCATTAAAATTCATCATTTCAAAATCAATATTTTGAGAACGGTAAGAAATTCACAATGTATTACACAACGGTGCACATATTTTGTGCTATCTCGACGTAGTATGGCTCATACATTTTTGACTACCATCAACTTTGTACACTCTATCACAGAAGCACTCGCAGATTGTTTGCATAAGCACACCGATACAGCCACATATTACGCTCGACTTTAGATAACGGTTTGTTACACACGAAACACATTGAATGTACTGTGTGCTCAGGCGAACACTCGATTGCGCGCACACACACACAACAGGCCTCGGAATATCAGAACGGATGTTAGCTGGTAATTGCATTTGTTACACATGGAAATGTGATTAAAAATTTAAAATCGTTTAATGCTGCTAAAATGGGAAAATCATCATTCATTGAAACCCAAAAACCGCTCAAGTGGCGAATCTTATTTATTGATTACTTTTTTGGAGTTGTTGAGTTACCGTTTTCCACAACATAAACATGTACATGCACACACACACACGTACACGCGCAGCCAACGATTGATGTGCCAAACGATGCATTTTACAACATTTGAAATAATAAATATTGAAAATTTGTTGCGCTTAAGTGTCATGAATTAGAATGCAATGTGATTTGCATAATGCTAAAAGACTTTTAGGCTTGACACACACACACAAACATGTACGAAAAACATACAGCCTCGGTGAATAATAACAAACAACAACGACGACGACGACGATGACGAACGACAACAGCAGCAATAAGTGTACCGAGATTGCAGACGCAATTTAACAAATTGTTGAGACGCGAGCATAAACAGTCAATAATAAGTCAATGTGTTTATATTCACAACGCTAATAAATTAGAGAAGCAACTCACAATGTATATGAAGTGGCAGTATGGAGGGGGAAAAAAATATGTGTATTTATACGAAATGGCAATACAAATAAAACGCACTTAAGCAAACCGAGTCAGCGCTTAAAAAATGAATTGACTCTTGAATTGTTGATCCGAAATGTACATACAGTATTTGCAAATGATGGCGATATGCGAGAGGAGGAACAGCAACAACTACAATGATGACGAAAGAAGAAAAAAAAATCGGCACACAATAACAGCAGAGCAAATAACAAATTAACAAACAAATATAAAAATTGCATTTGTGCAATACGCGGCATGGATAGTACTTTTTTTTCTCTGTTCTGGCTGGTATTCAGCAGCATTTTTGCACAGACTCAAAAATCAACACTCGAAATTTGTGCACAACCATTCGCTCGGGCTGATAAAGTTTATGCAATTTGTGTGTTATTTGCGAAAAGAAAAAAAAGCAACACTGATATCGAATGGCATTTCGTTGAAAAATAATTGGTTTAGATGTTAAAAGGAATGTTCACGTTAATTTGATACCTACATAGAACTCGGCTGGCCGAGTATGTGGTTCGTTTCAATTTGCCAATGCCATTTATCTATTTTACACCCCAAAAAATATTCCAAACAATATGTTATCCATTTCGAATTGCATGCAATTTAATTTCACTTTAATTTTCATTGTGAACAATAGCACCAATATCGGAATCATATATACACACGCACACACATGCACCCAAAAGGCAGCAAGTCAAAAGGGAAATCGAATAGATAGACAATTAAGCTAAATTACCAGTGTAAAATATTAGAGTTCAATGTTTCATGGGTATGGTTTTATTGCATTTGGTCAATTTGTGTTTCGAATGTTCGTCTGCATGTTGATTGCAATTGAATATGTTCAATTTGAATGCTGTTTGATTTGAACAAATTGAAGTAGCCGGCTGGGTTTGTGTGAGCAACAACCTAAATGCATTTGGTTGCCAATTTACCACTGCTGTTGATGCTATATTTTTTTTCCCGAAATTTGAATGAATGATGAAATGTGTTACTGATGAAAGTGCACAGACTAGTGGCAACATTAAAGCTATAGCTATTTTATTAATTATTTATGCGTATTTAATTAAAATTTATTTGTTTTTCGGCTGAAATGGCATAAACAATGCATGAATGGAGGAAGTTTCGATTCTATAAAATTTTAATACGCTTGCTGAACAATAACGATGCCCAGTGGAATGAATAAAACAGAGAGAATGAGAGAGAGAGAGAGAGAGAGAGAGAGAGACCGAGAACCAATTACACGCATATTCATAATCGGTCACATTTCGAATGTATATAAATTTCGAACTAACTTCAAGGCACTTATCGAATATGCAAATGATGATGACAGACAACGCACGCATCAACCAAACCATATGCATACCTCCACCCAGTCAACTGGCTCACTAACTAACTGCATGTGCGTGTGTGTGTATGAGTGTGTGCCAGAAAGAGCAAGAGAGCCTAAAAATCATTCAGCCGCAAAATAGTTTATAAGCCCATTCAAATTATACGATGAATGTGAAGATGCGCGCGAGTGGCGCGCGTGTACACAGTGTATGGGATTTTTATTAGCAACTATCAAAATAGTCATAAATAATAACACTAATAACCATAACAATAAATTAAATCAGAATAAACACAGAAGCACTCATGTTCTATCTATCTCGACACGCCATTCGTTTGACTCTTGACTTGATATGTCGTAGTCGACATAGCAGGCTCCGCCAACCGACTCTCTCGCATGGCTTCGACACTCTTCACGCACTACACCATTGATAAAAAAAATTAGATGAAAATTTATTCGATCAATTTGTAACTTGTGATATTTTTCGCTTTTCACCTCGTCACACGACGACCAAAAATTCATGATGATATGATTCGGTGTGTGTCCCGCAAATTTCATATCCAAGGAAATAAATTTTCATAATGCTTGGGGATTTTTTTTAACGAAAATGCCGGTAGAAATAAATGAATGGTTTGGAGCGAAAATGTAATACACAAAAGTTGAGCGGAAAAATGTCCAATGAAAAGGGATAGCTATATAGTTCACTATACAGTTTTCTATATAGCTATCCCTTTTCCGCTCATTCGTCATCGACATTTTTCCGCTCAACTTTTCTGTATTACATTTTCGCTCCAAACCATTCAAATGTATAGAGAGTGTGACGTGGGGAAAAATTGATTTAAATTGTAAATTTTTCAGCACATGAACATTTTTCCCGTCGTTCTCACATATTTACACATGCTTGGGTGTCGGAGGCGGGAACAGCGACAGCACTTCGATATAGAGTAGTCGTCCTCGCTTCCCTATTAAAGTTATTGGATCAATTCACCTTATTCGCCAATTTCTATGGCATTTATTTCATATTTTTATTTCGCTCCTCTCTCTTTCTCTATCGTTTCTGTGTTTCCTTCAACAGGAGTAACACAATTTCGAGCGACACACGTAAATCTTTCGAAATCTCTACTTTGTTTGCAACAGCACCCGTGCCAGCAATATCGGTAACATCATTTCCAAGTTGTGATGTTTATGCGTTTTTGCGTGCGAAAGACAAGATAACACTGGCTTTTTCGTTGCTACACTTATAATACATAGTGCGAGCGACAGGAATTTGATTCCACATCGAACAGTGTGTATTTTTGTATGCAAGGCAAACGGCGAAAAATAACGAGCATATTATAATTGAATCTAAATATTCGTAGCATGTTGCGAAATATTGTTGCCGGTGAGCGCGCAGCGTAAGACGACGAGAAAATCGTCTCAGCAACAAAAGCAACAAAAAATCGCATAAATAAAGAAAATACTATGGAAGGAAAGGAGATTTTCCATTTGAATGGCACATAAGCAAAAAAGGAATTGATAGATAATAGATAAAGTCGCTACTAACAAACATAATAAAGGAAAGGAAATTGGATATTTTTTTTTTGTTCATGTTCTTCTCCATTTTGTGATGTAGCTTTCTGTTTTTGTTCCTTACGATGGATGCAAAGATTCCGTCGGTACAACTCTCTCTCCCTCTCGCTCCCTGTTGCTTCGGTTCTTATCATGGTGTATCGTTATTAGGGAAATTCAAATCAAACTTTTCGTTTGTAACACAGAGACAGTGTGTGCGTGTGTGAGAGAGTAAATGTAATAATGGAACTTTAGGTTTTGATTTAATCAGGCGTTGACGACCAGAAAGTATTGCAAAACTAAATTTCCGAAAATGTACTTATCAGCTCGGTTGTATCATGAGGCGAGGAAAAGTTCGGTCGCTCCCTGTTTCACACTCCCTCCCCAATTAAAAGGAACCAAATGTATGTGTTTATTTGTATATGTAGCATAACCTTTTGGCGAAATGTTTGCATATTGGGTAAACCACACCAACTTTTATGTAACTTGACTTTTTTTTCTCTTCACAAATAATGATCCTACTTCTAAGAATTTTGATTGCGTGTGATGACATGACTCCGGCTTCGTCGTTCGCCTTTGATTCCGTTCATTCTTTCGCTCGCTTTCTCTTGGGGTAAACAAACAATTGTGCCGTTTTTCATCGTTAACTTTAGACGAAGCAGCCGCCACCGGGCCACCATCGATGCCAACTTTAAATGTTTGCTAATGCCAAATCTTACAAAGTAATTTAATTTTGTTTCATAATTTTTACACTCCATCAAATTCGTTCGGTCGCCCGTTTTTCAGGCCACATCGTTTTTCAATCGGGAATCTGTTTCCAGTTACGTGCATCTCAAACACAAGTTCAGGGCGCGAACGAGCAAGAATTTCACTTGATTCGTTCCGTTCTCGCTTTCCTTACTTTTCCCCGCTCTGTTTCGATGCACGACAACGACGGTGTCGCTGTATGCGTATGCAAATGTATAG